AACTGTTTGGTAAAACGGATAATGAATAGCCAATCATTTGAATGCTAATTATTAATCACATATGATTGATATAATATTTAGTATAATTCTACTTTTATCCCCCCCCCCCCACAAAGCATTTAAAAACTGTTAAAACATTGATTAAGGGGTATGAACTCACCTGTAGTAAGTGGATCGGAAGGAAGTGTCGGATAAGTGCTTGGTGTCAAGTGAAGAGTTAGACATGCACAAAGATCCTAATAACATATAAGGATATGTGTATATACACAATTAGTCTTTAAACAACTAATAAACAAAGTTAAGACACTCTAGGACACGCTAAACACTTTATACAAGTATTATATGTCTCAAGGGTTGCATCTAAATGTTGTAGGGAAAGGCTAGTGTGTTTGGGGTTTAAGGGTAAACTCCCTTGGAGTTTACGGTTTTCATGACCATTACCCAAGGATTTTACGATAGTAAACTCAAGGGTTTACGGTCGTATACTCTACACTTTATGTCCATTTGCTGGTATGAAGTCTTCTAAGCTATTCCAAGCATTCATACTTCATGATTTAGCCTTAGGAAGTGTTGTGTGGCATCAAAACACTCCTAAATGGAGTTTACGGTCTAAGGACCAATTCTCCATGAGTTTACTACCTTAAACTCCTAAGTTTGGTATTTGGCGGTTTTCAAGTCCTTAGCTCAAACATAGCACTAGTCTAGGTTAGATTCTAGCCACAAGGAACAACCATGGGCCATTTATTGGACATTTACACCACATTTGTGGTGTTTACGGTTTTGGGAGATCCCGAAACCGTAAACACATAAAAAAATATGATTTTGGTGCATTTTGTGTGATACACTCATCAAGGATGGATCTAGACAAGTCCCTAGGGCATTGTGAAGCATCTAGACACCGTAAAGCACCCTAAGGCACTATATTTGGTGTTTACGGTTTTGGGAGCCTCCCAAAACCGTGAACACCTTGTTCTTAGTGTTCTTGGGAATTTTCCTTGGTATAAACATGTATAGCTAGCTTAAAATGACTCTAGGATAGAAGTACTTACATTGTGGAAGCTTGAAATGAACTTTAAGTCCAAAAACACTAGTGTGTGTTCTTGGTGTTTTGGAAAAACTAGTCAAAACACATAAATGAATGGATTAACGGATGTACAATCACTAGATTAAATGATATACTAACTTGAAAGGGTTAGAACACTTACTAGTTTGAAGATCTAGAATAAAAACTTGGATGATACTTGAGAGGATATTTTGGAGTTTACTCTTTTGACATTTGGGGAGTAAACACAAATGACTAGCTTTTTGGGGAGTAAACTCATACATAGGTATGAGTTCACGGTTTTTGGGTGATTTTTCAACCCAAACATAAAAGTTTGGTCGGAAATTTCTAAGACGCGAAGTATTTGCGGTTTTTAAAATGCAAAACCCGAGACGACACTATCTTTCACCCATTCGTTTAAAAATAATATTAAAATAATCAAACGAACTTTATATTTCTTGAAAATAAGAAATAATGACTTTAACTTATGATACGAAGTGGTTGACTTTTAGGGTTTGACCGAATGGAAAATTTCGGGTTGTCACAGATCCGATCTATATAACACATAGCATACATTTAACACAATGCACATAAATCTCAAACATACACATACACATCAGACCCTCCGGTCTGCACATAAATACCACTCTAGGTAATGTATAATGAAAAGACTCACCTCGTGTAAACTTGGATAATCTCGAACTCCAAATACTGATCTAGCCTCCGCCTAATCACATAAAATAAATTCCTCTAATTATTAACAGCTCTCAAAGGCTAGACTAGTCCCTTCCTATATTCTCAAAGGCTAGACTTATCCACTATCGAGCTATTATGAACCATAAAAATATGATGTTGAGTGTTGTATGTTACCCATGCATGTGTTAGACGGTCTTAATGGGTTAATAACATAGGGTTTAGGACATTAAGCACTTAATGGCCATGCAAGACCATAATGTTGGAAATTTTATGGTCAAGGACATCATTTTTGGGGTTGGATATGGAAAATAGGCTTAAGAGCTTAAAGATTAAGCTCTTAATGAGTTGGGTTGGCAGGCAGATGCGTACGCTGGGCGTACAAGGCATATGATGCTTGTACGTGGTTAACAGGTTCGTGCCCAGTCAACCAACACGTACGCCGTGCGTACTCAGCTGGGTTGACTCGGTTGACTTTTTGGAATTTTGACTTTTACCTGATTTTGACCAAGTTTGACCTAGGGGTGCTTTGGGTATTTTTAGTTTGTGTTTAAGAATTGGTCATTTGGATGGATAGGTGATGGTTAGAGCTGTTTCAGAGGTGGGACCTTATCATCTATTGTTCAGAATGAGAGGTAAGTTTTCCTCATTATACTTATGGGTCAAAGGCACTAAGTCCAACCCATTGGATTGGATATCCTACTTTATGATATTATGTCGTTATGCTGTAGTGATCTGTTAGATATTTATGATAGTTTGTTGGCCGGTTATATGTTCGTCTGTAATATGTGAATATATATTGAGTTGTGGTTGAGGCTTTACTGCTATGTGTGTGATCCAACATGCTGGGGGCATTCGAACCCAATATTTGATTGGGCCCGAGGGTATTGGACCCGTTGTATATTGGTATTCCAACCCGGGGTATTCCATCCCGAGGATGACTGGACCTGAAGATTGATTGGGCCTGGGGTGTTCCAACCCGATGGTTGATTGGACCCGCCATGTTTCAGTATTCCAACCTGAGGCTGATTGGACCAAACATGTTTCTTTGTTTGTTATGTTTATGTCGTGGTACTTTAGGGAAACTCACTAAGCTTGATGCTTACATTTGTTGTTATGGTTTCAGGTATTTTAGTTGATCGGGGAAAGCAAAGGCATGACCATGCACATCCTTTGGGATTTTATGTTATTGGTCTTGGGAATACTTTGATTTGAAACAATACTTTTGAAACAATGACTCTTTTTTGTAAAAAATATTGATTCATGGTTGGTTTTGAAAATTTAAAATTTATTGTGATTTTTTTAAGTGTTACAGGCCACTCCGTGACAATGCGAGGACAAGACGATCATGATTTAAGACTTCGCCTTGGCCACTTGAAAAATGTCATTTCTCTTATTAAGATCTTAATCCTTTCAGATCAAAGTTCATACTTCCAGATCTACTTTTCAACGTTGACTTATTGGATACAGTTTTCAACTTTATCAGTTAGGACTCTATTTCAAGGCTAGATCTAGAATCAAAGACTATTAAGTCGATAATGAGGCTATAACTTGAGCATAGACACAAAATACACTAAGCACGATCCTTCTTCTCAATCAACAGAAGTCTAAGGACCTAGGAAATCCACTATACGTTCTAGAGTTCTTCAAACTCCAAGAATATCCAAGAAAGGGACAAAAACCACCCAAATATGACCTAGAACTTGAATCCAGAAGAAAAGGTGTCAAGGTATGAACTATATACCTTCAACAACTCAGAAAACTGAAGAGAATGTTGGATCCAAACTTGCTTTTTGTTCCTTTGCGTCCTTGTAAACTTTCCTCTTCCAAAGATCTACCAAAAACCTAAGAACAAGGCTCAAAATCGATGAAATGGACTCTCAAGCATGCACAGAGGCTAGGGTTGCAAGTCGGGGAGGTGGATGGTGAAGAGGATGCCCTAAACCTAATGTTTAGGGACTTAAATAACGCAAAAACCCTAAAACATTGTGGACATGGTCTGCACCAGCTGCCACGTCGTGGCTATCCATTGCCACGCCATGACACCCAGTCTTTCCCACAAATCCTCCCCTTGATTCTTCCAAGCTCTCAACTGACCTACGTAGGAAAACGGGTGTTACAAATAGCATAAAACCATAGAAGACCATTAAATAGGAGGCAAACCCCAAAATGAGGGTTTACAGAAAAAAAAAATAGTGACTACGCATGTCGTTGCTAAACTACGCACAACACAGACTTACACGCAATGCAGGTAAATCAACGTACAATGTAGCTAAAGCCACACACAATGTAGACCTATAATTCTAAATTTTCAAATTAATGACAAATGGACCATCCAGGAAACGGGTGTTATAGGAACATGGGGGAGATAGTCGTAGAATAGGAAATGTTTCTAATCTATAGGATGGATGGGATGAAGTTATAAAAGTGTAAATAAGAGTTTAAGTGTCTGAGATTACATCTAGAAGCTAATCCAAGTGTTAATTGTTGAGGTCCATTAGACAGTTTTCACTCATTGTCGACAATAATATATATAATATCATGAGAAGAGAAATTAAATTGGGAGAATTTCATATATACCCTCTTAAACTTCAAAATATCATATTTGCCCAACTTAATTTCTCAATATCATATTTATCCTTTATAAAATTTCAAAATATCATATTTGCTTAAATCCTTTTTATAATGTTTTTAATATTTTATAATCATTTTTTATACCTTAGAATTATTATATTAATTAAAAATTTTAATCGTATTATCCTATAATAATGGAATGTGAACTTTTAAATTGTTGGAATGTCGCCCTCTTGACAAACAAAACGATTCATCTTCAACCCTCTCTATGGAATATATATTTTGATTGTTTAGTTTTTGTTGTTGTTGATTATTATTATGTTGTAGATAGAAGATATTTTAGATATTACTATTGACATTTTCATGTTTAAGAATGACATATACGATATTTTGATATTTAAGAATGATATATATGATATTTTGATGTTTAAAAATGACATATATGATATTTTGAAATTTTATGAATGATAAATATGATATTTAAAAATTTTATGAAGGGTAAATATGATATTTAGAAATTAAATTGAGTAAATATGATATTTTGATGTTTAAGAAGAAGATATATATAAAATTCTCTCTTAAATTTTAATATGTTAATTTATCAACAATTAAAAGTTTATTTTTCATGTTGAGGGCTTATCTAAATACAACAACATGCATAAGAAATGAAAGTACCATTACAATCATTGTATTACTCCCCAAAGTAAAAACCTTCATGTCGGAACACCCGAATTGAACGTGCAAGGTTTAGTATCTCATCGTCATATGCTACACCTTTACACTCTCTAACGTCGAGTTGCTCAAGTTTTTGGCACCCTTTAAGGATCACAACTAGATCGCTCCTTTCAATTTTCGAGAACTGTAAATCTAATGTCTTTATTTTTGGGAGTTGGGACCCAATGGCCAACGCAACATCTCCATCAATTCGAGGAACATAAACACTTAAATGCTTAAAGTTTTGGCAATTTTTGCTAATGTTGGCAATGGTTTTCTTCAAGCCTATTAAAGATGCAACCTGTAAAGCTTCCAAGTCTTTCCACTTGCAGATCGAGTCCGAGACTTCAAAATTAATCACATAGCTCAAATAGCTTGGTAGCACCAAGAGCTTTAAAGATGGACACCTAGACGTGAAAAACATTAAAATTAAAAAAAAATTAAAAATTAAAAATCAGTAATTTTGATGATATATGACAATTTTGATTTATTTGTCTTTTTTGTATGTTTTATCTTGTAACGGGTTTAAATTTTCACAAATTTTATTCTGATATGGTTATAAGTTTTCAAATCAACTCTCATTGGAAAATAAACCGTAAAATGTTAATATATTCTAAAATGTTACCTTTTTTTTAGTAAAATGGAATCAAAAGGTAATTATATTGGTCCAATGTTTTTCGCTCATATACAAAATTAATTATCTACTTTAAGAGGATGTTTAGATTATCTTTTTGAAAGATAAAAGTTCTTTTTGTAAAAGATAAAAGGTAAAATATGTTTGGTAAAAACATTTTAAAAGTGATTTTTGGATTTTAGATAGAAGAAATTTTTTTTTTTTGAAAAAGTTAGGAAAACCTGATTTTTTATAATTTTTTCAAAAACAATTTTTGTCTCTCAAAAATATACAAGCCAAACACCTTCTAAGTCTTTAACCAATTACACAACCCACCCATTTGATACATCTATAGAATTCGAGTAAATTACACAAATGGTCCCTATGATTTGTGTTAATTTGTACGTTTGGTCTTTAATTTATTTTTTTTAACTCAAAAGATCCATACTGTTTGTTTTTATTACGCGTTTGATCTCTAGCTTACCTAAAAATACTATTATTTAAATTGGGAAAAATTATGGGTTAGGTAAGATAAGGTAACGTGAGAGGGTGAGATTGGGGGTGTTTATTTAAATAAATTGAAAATCAAGGGAAAAAAGATAGGGACCAAGCGTGTAACATAAACAAAAAGTAGGGACCTTCCGAATTAAAAAAATAAGTTAGCTAGGGACCAAACGTACAAATTACCTGAACCATAGGGACCATTTGTGTAATTTAGTCATAGAATTCAGTCTTATTACCGTTGTGCGATCCATGCAATTTGGCCTTGTTTCAAACGTGATTTAGGATGAAAGACAATGTGAGAAACAAGTCCATGGCTACGCCCGATTGCAAACTGAAGAAAAGCATCTAGAACATCATCGGCATCATTGATATGATCTAGTGACGCCACAATTTTATAATCAAAACATTTGGAATTTCGTAAACAAGGGGATTTAGTAAATATGAGTTTTTGCCAACATTGAGGGTAGAACGTAGCTTCATACCAAGACTTACAGACTAAAGGAACAGTCCGTACAAGGGATTCGATTCCGACTCTTTTCAAGATTTCAACTAAACAGTGAATTGGCAGTTCATTACAATCTCTTCCTTCCATCTATGAAAATACCTGGAAATAAAGATGCTATTCACCATTAGTTTTCAGTAACATTAATTATATAAAAAGCCATTTGGATAAATTAAAATAAGAATATATACGTATTTATAAAGATGAGTGTCCACCAAGAGAAAGAATAAGAAAAAAAAAAAACACTACTTCACTCATGAAATCCACCCATAAGATAATAACCAAAAGAAGACAATATTGTAATCAGTAGAATATATCCGTTTAAATTATTTATATATTTATTGATTATTAATACGGGTTATAAATAAATTAATAAAATAGAATAACATAATATTATAAATTCATAGCAAATGATCATTCACATGCCATAATTACCAATTAAAGAAAGCCAGATAATAATGATTAATGAAACTGTTGGGCCCAACAAACCCACTTGTACACTCAAAGCCATCAACATCATTTCTTTCTTTTCTTTTTTATTTTTCATAATTTTCTCAATTTTTTACAATTTTAAAATTTTGTTCAACAAAATTCCAACTTGTCAATTTCACTTATCGGTATAAAGACTTATAATTTATTCCTACTTATTTTCCAATCAATATAAAATAATAACATGTGATCAATATAAAATAATAACATGTGCTATATGTGGATAAAATTAATAATATTTTAATATACTTCTTATCTTTTTAAATGGATGGATACGAAGATATCCAGGATAAAAAGTAAAAGAATAATTAATTTCTAACTAACAAGTTTTTGTTAAACAATATTCAAGTTTTCAAACTCTGCAGAATTACCGAATTAGATCATATGGAATTTCTTCATATTACCAAAGCGTAAAAGTAGATTTAATTAAATAGATAGTCTCAGCAATTACTTCTTAAGCTATGTGATTTATCGGAATAAACATGATCATAACCCCTAATAATATTGAAATCACACTCATACTTTATTGTTTGAACAAACAAAGACATTGTTCCCTAAAACATCATTCCACAACAATCAAATAAAGATAATCGAATCACAAATAACAGAACAAATTCACGTTGGAAGATAAAAGAGAATAAAAGAATTAATAGAAAACATTGTATGAATGAAAAAGAGAAAAAGGAATCGAGATAACCTTATCTAAAGAAGGAAGAAGTTGAATTATTGGAGAAAATATCACCAGATTATGCCGATCGGAATGAAAGATGGGCAAATGGCTTATATATATTCGTACATATGAACAAATTGTGTATTAGCCTCCTTGTTTGACCATTATAACTTTATTCACCGAAGTGGGCCTTGACTTCGGCCTTGTAGAGTTGCATATTGAAAATACAGTACCATAGAAAGACAAACTCGCCATAAAAATAAAATGTTATTCAATGTCACAATATATATACAAATAACTGGAGACTATGTTAGAAGGGAGTTTTAGATTTTATTGATTAAAGATAAAATAAAATTACTTAGATAGATCAGTTTTAAATTAGTCAAATTTGTTGTACTTTTTACGATTAAATCATTGGCGGATCTAGTATCTATCTCGAGGTAGCTCGGGATACCCTCAAAAAATTTCAGTGGTGTAATTTTTTCAGGAATTTTTTTTCTTATTGTGTATTACGTAATTTTTTTTTTTTTAATACCGGAGATACCCTTTTACTTTGATCCTGGATCCCGACAATGGAGTAAATCCAGCTATGTTTAACTTAGACGATCAAATGTAAAATGTAACAACTACTTATACATACGTGTGTTTTTTAAATGTAGTACTTATTAAAGTAGAATTTTAGTAAGATTATTATTACAACTGAGTATTGTGGAGGCATACTAATTAAAAGGGGGAGTTATGAATAAGAAAAAAAATAACCTTCTTATATAACTCACTATCGAATTGATTATTAACAACATAAGTAGTCACTAAATGATCTAGGACCATAATTTTGATCATCATTTTTCATGATTCGTCACTAAATTGATTAGAGATCAAAAAATATAAATTGTCACTATATTATGATTAAAATTATATTGGTCATTAATATTGACGGCTCATTTAGTCACTAAACATGCACAGTAATAAATAAAATTTGTCACTATTTTGTCTGACATGTTTTAATGATACAAAAATGTCCCTGATTTAAGTTGCTTTATTAGTGATTATAATGACCAAAAAAAATGATCACTAAATAATTATTGTTGGACACCAAAATTAAAAAAGTCAACTAATTAAGGAATTATAAGAAATTGTTATATAGATCTTTACAATACAACAACAATAACCAAATAAATTATCCTACAAATCCCTAACCTCCATAAAATTTACCATGTATACTTAAGAAAATATGAATTTTGAAGGAAAAAAAAACATTATGATACCAATTTTGAATAGCTTTACATTACATAGTATAATATTAAAGATCTCTCCCATCAAAAGCATTGTTAGTTCCAAGAACATACACATTACTCTATTTTATAAAAAACTCATGTAACATTTTTTTTTGGAACCGGCAAATATATATTATATAAAACACTAACCCTAAAAAGTTGCTAGGGAAGGAAAAAGAAAACAAAAGACAAAGTTCAATTACAAACAGTTTAACGGGAATCTAATCCAATCACCAAAATTAATACTACATCTGCCATATCTATGTTTTACCTACATAAATATCATAAACTTAATCGAATCGACAACCTTAATCGGATCAGCAATATCGCCATTGAATATTCTATCATTCCTGGCACGCCAAATAGCCCACAAAGCACCATAGAGGATCGAGAACAATGCCTTCTTCTTACGATTGGAACCCATCTTCAGTCTGACACCCTAATCAATAATTCCTCGAACCGAGTTGGTGTTTATCTTCCCGATGCCGCACCACTTCTCCAGACTCCTCCATACATGATCCGCAAACGGGCAGTCCACTAGAAGATGGTCGGAAGTTTCTAACATCGAGATACATGCACTACACCATTGGGAGTCTACCTTAACATTCCTGCGGCTAAGGGCCAACAAATTTGGGATTCGACCCAATCTATCTCGCCAAGCGAAACATAGAACTTTCATTGGCACCCACTTAAACCATGAAAGAGCCTTCAAATCTCAAAGTTTGTTAGCGAATTACACCTTTTTCCTTAATTCAAAGATTTTAACTTCCTCAAGCCAATCATTCATCAATGAACACACCATATCATTATTCTTTTTATCTTTATCATTTACATTTTCCGATTTCTCCTCTTCAGTAAACCAAAAGCTTTTGGTATTTATTACAAAAAGAGAAAAAACCAAATTAAGTATCATCATATTAGGGATGATCAACGAAAGTGGATATCCACTTTTATAACCCAAACCGACGGTTCCGGAAATGGAAACATCTTAAACGGTTTCAATTCTGGTTTTTATTTTTACAGAACTGCTATCTGCTGGGTACCCATCGGAACCTATGTATCACAATTATATATTTTTATATAGTATCCTAAATAACATAATTTAAAATTCTAAAATTTTGAGTAATTTGTTTTGAACCGTTAAATGTTCATATGTAATTTTCACTTTGAAATTAAACTATCCACATTCAAAATGAATTTGTAGATAATAGGCATAATGTACTATTTAGTATGTTCAAGTTAAATTTTAACTTATAAAAATATTTTTCTAGCTATGGACTTCAATTCTTTGAATTCTAACTCATAGATGTATTATTAAATGTTCTAAAAATTTAACAAATATAATGAACTGAGTACCCTTTATTGGAATCACAACTCGCTAGTTTTGGTTTCGATTCCAGTTCCAACATTTTAGGAAACGTCAGTTCTAGTTTCTGTTTCGGTTCCAGATAATTAAGACATGTACTCACCTACGCTCTTCCCTACATCAGATGGTGACTCATTGGAGAAAATCACTTTGAGCAAGGAAGTATTAACAATGAAATTAATCACATCAGTTGTAGCACATAAATGTACATAATAAAATATTATTTCCAGCCTTGATGTCAAACAAAACAATATTATCAACGTATATTATAACTTAAAACTCTATCTAGTCATAGTATTGTACTTTCAAAAAAAATATCACTAGAATGATATACTTTGAAAAACCTACCTAGTTGAAAATTGTTTTGCATTTGGATGGTATTGTTGTAACTAGGTAGATTTTTCAAAATATAATGCTTCTTATGAGGAAATGAAAGTAGAAAGTTATTTTAAACGAATGAACAAAAGTATGTTATTATTTCTTTCACTTAATAGTTAATACCTTTGACAATGCATGAGAATGTAAGGAAGTTTGCTTGCCAAAATTAGGTTTGGTCCATATGTTTGTTTGGACATTGTAGTATCCTCAATCCATGGCCATGTGTACCAACAAATATTGCTTGATATTCCAAATAGTTTTGATTTTACATCAAAATATCAAGAAACGCAAGTACATTACGATTATATGTAAGGAAAAGGTTATAAAAATTTCAAATCATACTTGTAAATAGCCTTCAAATAAATAAGAATTTACATAATTTTCTAAACAAAACCATCTTCATAAATTATTGATTCATAATAACAGGAAACCAAATATCCATTTCAATCAAGTCTAGATGCTTTTTGACCACCACAAATTCTCCACTAAATATAACTTTACCATAAAAAACTTACCAAATAAATTGATTATGACAAATAAACAAACCTTAACCCCTATGACCGTCGATATATATATATATATATATATATATATATATATATATATATATATATATATATATATATATATATATATATATATATATATATATATATATATATATATATATATATATATCGGAACACTTATTATTTCCAAGAATTTAATGGCTAAAAGAAATCAACATTAGAGCTACAAGTTATTGTACCACTACATAGAAAAAATGAGTGTTCTTCAATAAAAAACGTTTATTTACGACTAGTCATGTAAACAAACGTTTTTGATTGAAGAATACTTAGGATAAATAGTCTTGACAAAAGTCGTAGTAGTCATAAAAGTGAGAGCGTACATATAAAGAACACCTAAATCTGAT